AACATATAGATCCACAGTTTATATTCTTATAAGGTTAGAATTTAGTATGTGTTATGGTTTTACAGAGTAAAAAAAGAACTTCATGCCATGGAGGTTAAGACTTTCTTAACCTGTAGAAAACAAACTACTCCTACTTCGAGTTTAGTAGTCTCTTAAAACATTTCTTTCCTATCATAAATCTTAGCTTCTTATGTATCCTTTAGGTTTGCATTTTTCCATTTCTTTTTATTGTATTCACTATTAACTTTATTGAAAATCAATAATAATTATATACCAAATTAATAATTGTAGACAAATATTAAAATGTGGAAGATATAAGATGTGGACAGTGAATTTTAGAAAAATATTTCTGAAATGAATACATAACATGAGAATAATACTAGATTGCACATTGTAAAAATTATTTGCAAACTTAAATGAATATAATGATAAAAAAATTATCTAAAATAAACATGAAGAGTTTACAGATCAGTCATATAATAATTCTTTCTGTGCCAAACTCAAGAAACTTATATTCATATAATTAGAATTCTCCAAGTAGAAGGGGATAGGAATTAAAAATTTAAAGATTTAAAATTTCTGAATTTAGTTAAACTTACAGCTCCACATTTCCAAGAAAAATGACCCTTTTGCACAAGAAATGTGAATAAAATCATACCATAATACACGAAACTGAAATTGTCCAAAACTTATTGGAAAGAAAAAAATCATTAAAGCATATACATAGAAAAAATATTAGCTATTAAATAGCATCTTATTATTCATAAGAAAAAAAAGAGCAAATGGGTAAGAAACTAGATTTATTTATTCAAAGGACTGAAAGAAAAACATCTGTCCTCATTGAATTTTATACTTAGCAAACACACCTTTGAAATCTAAAGTAAAATATTTTCCAGTTATACAAACTTGAAATATTCTAAAACTTCCAGATGTAGCATATAGAAAATAATAAAGACCACAATCCAGAAGGCAAGAGAATTTGCTGTATGGTCCTGGATAAAGAATAAAGAGCTCTCAAAATGGTATAGTTACATAGGACTATGTGAAATATAATTAAATTAGACAAACCCACTTAAAAGGCCATTGAAGACTTCCACAAAACAGTATCAATCTTATGTCAGGTTATATACATATTTTTTC